GAGTAAAACTCTGTCTCAAAAATAAATAAATAAAATTAATTAATTAATTAAATTTTTTAAATATTCAAAATTGAGTTTGTAATAGTTTTCCGTGTGTGTGTGTGTGTGTGTATGTGTGTGTGTGTGTGAATATGTTTGGAATTCTACCACGTGAAATGCTCCCATCCATTAGAAGACACATACTGATTTCAGAAACGTTCACAGGTGGATAAAATGTGCATAATGTATGTGTGTCTCTGGATTCACTTTTCTCCATTCCCCACCTTCCTGGCCCTAATCACATTCTCCTGCGGAAGAGCTCAGAACACACTTCCCATTCAACAAGTTCATCCTGATGGTTCTCGAATGCCTCTGACAGTTCTTATTACATTTGGCCTTGCCTAGAGCAGAATTTGGCAGACTGTCTGTCACCTGGGGAGAGGGGGAGGGGTGCCAGGGTGATGCCTGATGTCATTCGTGTTCTTCTTCCCCCTTCCAGGTTCAGAGATGGATGGCTCCCTGGAGGTTGGGTAGGGCCATGTGACTAATTCTGGCTGAGGAACTGTGAGTAGAAGTGCACTGTCACTTCCAGGCTGGGGCGTTTAACATTCAGGAACATTCAGGCCACCAGGCCAAAGCTCTGTTTCACTTTTAGCCTGGTGGCCTGAATGTTCACGATGGTGACTGCTCTAGTTTTCTTTGGTGACTGGTTAACCTGTGATGGACATATAGCCTAAGTGAGAAATGAGCGCTGGTTGTCATAAGCCCCTGAGACTTTTGGTACTATTTGTTACCGCAGCATACTCTAGCTGAAACTGACTGATCGAGGTGGCCCCAAAGCAAGACCTGTTTGTTACCGCAGCATACTCTAGCTAAAACTAACTGATGGAGGAAGCCCCAAGCAAGACCATGATTCACACAATGTGTAAGTTTAACCTTCCCAGTCTCTGTCCAGTCTTTAAACAGGATGTCTTAGGTTGGTGCTGAGGTATCTTTAACACCTTCCAACCCTTGTTAATCTCTCCCTTTACCTAAGAGAAAACAGGCCTTGGGCTCTAAGCCTTCAGCAGGCAATAAAATCTAGGCAGAATTTTGTGGCAGTATTTAGTTCTCTTTTTTTTTTTTTTTTTGAGAGACGGAGTTTCGCTCATGTTACCCAGGCTGGAGTGCAATGGCGTGATCTCGGCTCACCGCAACCTCCGCCTCCTGGGTTCAGGCAATTCTCCTGCCTCAGCCTGCTGAGTAGCTGCGATTACAGGCACTCACCACCATGCCCAGCTAATTTTTTGTATTTTTAGTAGAGACGGGGTTTCACCATGTTGACCAGGATGGTCTCGATCTCTTGACCTGGTGATCCACCCGCCTCGGCCTCCCAAAGTGCTGGGATTACAGGGTTGAGCCACCGCGCCCGGCCTAGTTTTCTCTTTCATTTATTGACGTAACCAGCAATGGATGGCACGGACTTCACACCCGCCTCCCTGCTAAGCATCTGGTGGTATCAGTGCATTTATTCTTAATCTTCATAGCTACCCATAGCTAATTCACCCATAGCTACTTCATATGGGTGCTGTCTTCATCCCCATTTCCCGGAAGGGGGACACCAGACCCAGAAAAGTGAAATCACCTGCTTCGGATTACTTGTATGCTGCCTTCAATTTAAGGCAAAGAGAAGATGAATTTTCTGGCCAGGCGCAGTGGCTCACGCCTGTAATCCCAGCACTTTGGGAGGCCAAGGAGGGCGGATCATGAGGCCAGTAGTTCGAGACCAGCCTGGCCGATATGGTGAAACCCGATCTCTACTAAAAATACAAAAATTAGCCAGGCATGGTGGCGCATGCCTGTAGTCCCAGCTACTTGGGAGGCTGAGGCAGGAGAATCGCTTGAACCCGGGAGGTGGAGGTTGCAGTGAGCCAAGATTGTACCACTGCACTCTAGCCTGGGCAACAGAGTAAGACTCTATCTCAAAAAAAAAAAAAAAGAAGAAGATGATGAATTTTCCATTTGTGATAGTGCTATATAAAATAAACTTCATTGTTTTTAAAAAGCTAATCCTGGGTTGGGCATGGTGGCACACACCTGTGATCCTAAGCACTTTGGGAGGTCAAGTCGGGTGAACTGCTTGAGCCCAGGAGTTTGAGACCAGCCTGGGAAACATGGCGAAACCCGTCTCTGCAAAAAATACAAAAATTAGCTGGATGTATCGGTGAGTGTCTTATAGTCCCAGCGACTCAGGAGGCTGAGGCAGGAGGATAGATTGAGCCCAGGCCGTTGAGGCTGCAGTGAGCTATGATCGCGCCACTGTACTCCAGCCTGGGTGACGGAGTAAGACCCTGTCTCAAATAATAAAAACAAAGAAGTGATTCCTTTCAAGGAAAAAATTAGGTAAGTAGCAGTGTGAGGTATATTTGAATAAAGCAAAAATTGTGACGGTAGTACTCTAAAGCACCAAGATGGGCAAACCCTGTTTCAGGGTCCCTCGTGCTCCGTGTAAGTTTCCCCACCAGAGAGTGAGTAAATTTGTTTGACTCATCGCTGCTGTTCATCCTGACATTTGTGAAAGGCTCTCCAAGTTTTCTGGGGTGAATGAATGAAGGAATGATTATGAGGCACTCTTAGGTTGCAGGAGACTGCAAAAGGTGGATTGTCTCACTTGTCTGTTTTCCACACACCCACCCTTCCCCAAAGTTAGGGGGAGCCCACTGGGTGAGCACCTGTCCCAGAATCTGGTGCTCCATGCAGAAGATCCTCCTTGGGTCCCTGCTGCCCCAGCAACCTGGGCTGTCAGGCGAGGCTGGGGCCAGAAGTCAGGCAAAGGAATGTGCACTACTCCTGGTCAGCTGCCAAGGAGATATCTGGAAGGAGGTGGTTACTATGGCAACTGGGGCATCCTGGGAGGTGAAGAGAGGTGATAGGTCCCAGCACCTCAGGCTGGGTGGGGTCCCTGTGGGGTCCTGTGTGAGATGCAGGTTTCAATCTCGATGCCCTCTGCTCCTTTTGCACCTCCTGCTATTGCCCCTGTAGGACTGGCTTCTGGCCAAGCTGAGGGTCCATTTCAGGCATAGGGACCCAGCCCCACCTGTGCTCCTGCATCCATCTCTGTTCACCCCTAATTCTCCCTCCTGTTCTCTGGCAGGGTGGAGGGAGACAATCTCCCCTCTTCCCCCCTCACTCCCCAACAATTCATTAATTAGTTTCCTTAAGCAGTTTGTAATGCACAACATGCTTTTCCTCCCCCGGGATTTCCCTGAGACCTGCGGTCCCCTCTCATGCTGTGACTGGGAAAGGGGGAGGCAGAGGAGGTGGGGTTGAGGAGTCTGTCCTCCCACCTCTGCCCGTCTGCTGCCATCGATCCTGCTAACCACCACCTCTGCGAAAAGAAGCCCTGGGCTCCTGCCAGGCCTGCTGCCTCAGCCCTGCCCCCTCTCCCTAGGGTGGCTTCCAGCCTCTGCAGCCCCCCCCCACCCCCCGCCCTGCTTCAGATTCTGCAGATATGGCTCAGTGCAGCAGCCCCCGCCTGCTGGGAAGCGCAGAAGGGAGGGAGCCATAAGTGGGATTGGGGTTCCCTTCACTGCCAGGGGCTTCTCAGCACCATCGATCCACCCCCTGGCCCTGCCCTCAGTGCTACAGACCCTGGCTGGGCACCCGCTGTCTCTTGAAGCAGTCTGTGCCTTGCTCCTCTGCAGAAGCAAGCTGAGCAATGGGGGTTATTAGGGGTAGATGGTGGAAGCGGGTGTTTAAGCGGGTGCATAACTGGGTTAATGGGTGTGGAATGGAAGTCAGTTTGTGGCTGGATGGGGTCAGTAGGTGCAGTTATGTGCACACCAAGTGCACCTCTGGGATTGGAACCCACCCCTGCTGTGGGCTGGGAAGGAAGGTCCCATCACCCATTTCCATCCATGGGGGTTCACTGCAGTGGTTTGGGCCCCACCCCACACTGACTGCTCCCTTCTTCTCTTTCTATTGCCCTCTCTCCCCATGGGTCCATCTCTCTGCTTGTCTCTCCACAGCGGTCTCAATCCCACTATCTCCCAGCCTCTCATTTTCTCTCTGCGTCTCTGTCTACTGCTCTCTGCCTTTCCCCTCCACTGAGAATCTCTCTGAGTCCCTCTATTTTTCTCCCTGGGTCTTTGTGTCTGTGACTGGATCTTCTGCCTTTCGTGGTCTCTGTCTCTTCCAGGTTCTCTGTCTCTTGAATATCCCTTCTCTGTCTCTTCTCTCAGTTCTCACTCCTTTCCTCTGAACCTGGCTCTTTCAGGAAACATATACCCCAGGAGACAGCACTGGAAAGAAGAGGAACATGGACCTCCTCCCCTTCCCTTGCCCACCCAGGGACCCTGAAATCTTCCAGAGCGTCTCTGGCCGCAGACCCACCCGCTCCCACCTTGCAAGCCCATCTCTTCCCGTCTGCTACCACCACAGTGCCGGACCAGCCACCCGGTTGCCATAGCGACCTGTCCGAGCATCCCTTCTCCCAGGACTGCCAATCTCCAACCGCAGGTCTGGTACAGGTCGCCCGCCGGGGAGAGGGTGTCCCAGAGACCCAGAGGGGCGAGCAGGGGGGTGCAGTACAGGGGCCTCCACCGGCAGGAGGAGCGGACCTCTCCCTCCCCACTCCCCTGCCTTACCATTGCTGGAATCTCCCAACACCCTCTCTCCTAGGCTTTCAGATCCCAGAGCCCCCCTACAACCCCCTCCCCAGACGACGCTCACCCTTTGTGGGGGTCTGGGTCGGGGTCGCCATGCTCGGACGGAGCAGGGGGCTTCTGGATGCTTTGGCGGCGAAGGCGCGCTGCAGCAGCTGGAAGCAGGACAGACCGATGTGGAGGGGAGCTGGGGGGAGCCCTGGCGTGGGGGGTGCCTGTAGCCAATGGGGGCCCGGGGAGCCCGCCCCCGTGCAGGCCACCCCCGCCCCCGCCCCCGCCCACCACTGTCGTCCCCGCCCCTTCCTCTAGGGTGGGGCGCCCCCTGCTGGGGTCTGGGAGCGCTGGGCTTTCGCGCTGAGGGACGGAGACCGACTAAACGCTGTCGAGAGGAATACACGTTTTATTGGAAATCTGGGAGGCAGGGGGAGTCTGCGGGGGCAGGGCTGGGGAAGGGGCGGCGGAGGGGGCGGTGGGCGCGCAGGTGGAGCGTGGGAGACGTCAGGTGCCAGGGGAGTCCTGTGGGGGTGAAAAGGGTGAGAGGCGAGGGGGTACGTCCAGCCCCGCCCCTCGCTTCCCTCCCACCCTGGCACTTGGCCCCCTCCCTGTCCCGCCCTTCCTCCCTCCTTCCCTCCTCCCGCCGTGTCAGAGCTGCAGCACCTGGCTGGGTTCCATTGTGCCAGGTGTTTCTACCGCCTGCGAGTGGACAGACCTGGGGGGAACACGGAGGTCGGGGGGCAGTTAGGAGGGGGATCCTCAGCTCTCGGGCAGGAGGGGCCCACGGCGGGGCAACTCCCTGCCCTCCGCTTTCAGATCCAGTCCCTCCCTCTATGCAACCCGAGAGGGCCAGGAAAGGGGTCCTTGGAACCAGCCCCCTCCCCCCAAAACCCGCAGTCTCCCCAAACTCACGGCGGATGGAGCTGCGGAAAGTTCCCTCCTCTTCATCGGGTTCCCCAGTCCTGGTAAGACAGAAGCAGAGAGATTTCGGGATGGAAAGGGGGAGAGGTTGCCCTTCTAGGAACCACCCCCCAAGTACAAGCCTCCTGTCTCAGACTGGTGTAAGGAGGCCCAGATATGGACGAGAGGCAGGCTCGGGGTCCGCCAGAAGTGAGGAGCACCCAGGAGCAGCTTAAGTGCCTGGCAGGAGGCTTCCAAGCCGGTTAACAGTGAGTACCTCCGCGGATTTGGAGGCGGGGATACGAAGTTGTAGGGGAGGGATGGTCAAGGGGATTTGGCAGACTGCCACGTGATGGCCTGGGCTGGAAACCCAGAACCCATCTTCCACTTGAGTGATCTCGAGAAAAGGGACTTTACCTCCCTGTGCCTCAGTTTCCTTATCTGTAAAATGGAGTTAATAACTCCAAGAGGAAGTGAAACCGTATCTGACACGTGGTACAACACCCAATAAATATTGGCTACTACTTATGATAATATCTATAATTGTCTAACATATTCAAACATTGTCCATGCTTTAACATTTTATTTGAAGATGAATCAAAGAGCTAGGAACAGGACTCCAAGCTAAACTGAGCCGCATGTGAGATGATCTCATTTCACCGCCGTTCCTTCTTTCCTGCACTTGGTGTTATCACGATTTGTGATTTTTCTATCTGTGGGCTGTTGGAACCCATGGCCACCGCCTCCACTAGCCTGGGAGCTCGGCCAGGAAGGGCGGGAGGTTTTTTCCTCGCTTGGGCCCATGGCCTGGCTTGGGCTAGGGCACATAGTAGGTGCTTAAAACATAGTCGCTGATGGGGATCGGGCTGCAGGTCAGGGGGACTTCCCGCCTCACCCGCGGGGCCCTCCAGAGCGGGAGGGGACTAGGGATGGCCGGGAGGAGCGTCTTACCTCTGCTGCTGGTTGAACTTGCACCGGCATCTTCTGCCTGTGGGCGTGGAGAGGTAGGAGAGGCTGAGGCTCCCTTCCGGCGGGCGCCACGCGGCGCTGTTGCTCCAGCTAGGCTTCGCGAGGGGCGGGGCTTCGGCGACGGGGCGGGGCTAGAGGCGGGACCGGGGTCCGGGGCCAGGGAGCCGAGGTAGGGTAGGCGGGGCAAGGCCGGGGAGGGGCTGGAGAGGGGAGAGGCGGGGCCAGGGCGGGCCCGGGGAGCCGGGCGGGGAGAGGCGGGGCCAGGGACAGCGCGGGTAGAGGGCGGGGCCGGGAGCTAGGACACTCACTGAGCACGATGAGGATACCCAGGATGAAGAGGATCCCGGCGATGATGAGGCCTCCGATCCGCAGGGACCGGTAGTCTGTGGGCGGCAGAGCAGGGAAGGTGAGGGCAGGGAGGACAGGAGGGAGAATAGGAGAGGGGCACAATGGAGAGGAGGGGACAAGGAGAAAGGATCAGCAGGAAGGAGGGGAGAAATAAGATCAATTAAGGGGGAGCAGACAAGGGAGGAGGAAAGTGGGGGACGAGGGAGAGGAGAGGGGTGTATAGGATGTATAGGAAAAGGAGGGGGTAGGGAGGAGGGGAACAGAGCCGGAGAGAAGATGGGAAGAAGCAGAGGAGGGGCCACGAGATGCTGATAGGGACCCAGGCAAAAAGAAGAGAACAGGGAGGCGGCTCACGTAGCGACACAGAGAGACACAGACAGGGGGAGATGTAGATAGAATCAGAGACGAAGTACAAGACAGAGGGAAGGAGAAGGACAGAGATATCAACACTGGGACTCTGGCGGAGGGAGACAAGGAATTGAAGGACCAGCAAAGCCAGGCTCTACCCCGAGACTCTCAAAGATAGACCCCTCTCACCGTAGGTGAACGGGTCGTGTTCCTTTGGACTTTCTGGAAAGAGAGAGAAATCAGGGGTTGAATGCTTCCTGGGGTCCTGGACAGGGAGGGGCATAAGGAGACCATTTGGGTGCTCTGCCTTGCTGGGCTGAGAGTATGAGGGTGTCTAGGCAGGCTGCCCACCCTCTCTGGGCTGCCCTGGCAGTTCCAGCTGCCCTCTCTGCACTGTTCCGGATGGGGCAGGGGGCACCTAACTGCCCCAGCTCCCTGACTCATGGCAGGCTGTCTGTGACCCAGTTAGCCCACCAGGGATTCAGCCCCATCCCACCCAACATTTACCTGATCTGGGGCTTCCTCTCCCCTCCCGCAAATCACAACCTGTGACGGAAACCCATGTGGAGACCCCCAAACTTCTTGGTACCCAGCTAACTCAGTCTAGGTTGGGGTCTCCAACTTGGTTCTTTCTTGAGGTTTGGTCCCCGCTGCCACCCCTGGGGCTGAGGTGGGTGGCAGGCAGCCTCCCTTACACTTACCTGCTTTGGCCATGGTGAGGAGACCCACACAGAAAACCAAGATGTGGCCAAGAGACACCATTATCCTGGGGGAGACACCACCAGTCAGGCAGTGTGTGCCCTGGCTCCCCAACATAGGGCGTGAACCCAAGGGATGAAGTCAGAGACAGTCCAGGGACTGAATCAGAAGTGTTTGTTCTCTCGCTTGGTGGCTCCGAGGAACAGGGGTATCCCAAGCTTCATGGGGACACAGTGTCAACAAAACAACTTCCATGATGGGGGTCACACAACAACACAATGTAGAGGGACAGGGGTGAGACACACAGTCCCCAGGGTCCTCCCTTGGGCCTCCACCTCCCGCAACAGGCCCCCGGTTCCCAGACCTACCCTGGCAGGGGGAGAGGAGGAGCCGGCTCACACAGACACAGAGCAGGAGACAGCGGGGCACACCCAAGTCCCACCTGCTTACACACCCAGCCTCACTGCACCCCTCGAAATCCCAGCGCCCTGCCCTCGCCGCCCGCCCGCTCCCGGCCTAACCCTGGGTATAAATATCTCCCACTTCACCCTGGAGGAATTCCGCTCGCTCAAGCCACCATGGCAACAGCCAGACTTCCCCCACTCGGGGGGTCACGCACAGCCCTGCCGGGGTAAGGCCCAGCTGCCACATCGCCACAGGCTGCCCTTGTGGGAAAGGCCACCCCGTCTCCTCCCTGGGCAGCAAGGAGAAAAGGAAAAGACGGCCCCTCTGCCCGCCTCTGGGTGACATCTTTCACAATCGGATGTCAGGCAAGTGACATGAGGCCCAGGCAAGTGGGCCTGAGAGATAGAAGACACATGCCGGGGCAGGGCTGCACGCACAGACACACACACACACACGCACACGCACACGCACACACACACACTGGGGCCGGAATGGACATGAGACAACAACCTCTCCCCAAACTTCTGGTTGGAGCAGGACGTGGGGTGTAAACACCGTCAGTCTTCCAGTCCTCCTCCTCTGGGCCTCTGGTGCCCCCAAACAGTGACGCAACCAGCCCTGCACACGTGCGTGTCCAAACTCCACACCCTGCCAGGGTACACGCACACCAGCAGGGCAGGGAGGAGTTGCCCACGCTCCCACCCTGCAGAACCCAATGCCCCAAACACACTCCCTCCCTCTTGGGTTGGCCTGCCTGGGAAGCCTCGGGCTGGCCACTCCTGCTCCCAAAATAGGCAGCCCAGCCAGGCTAGGGGTGAGGCCTGGAGGGGAGGAGTGGGGAACGCTCACCCCAATCAGGCTGTCCCCTGCTGAAAGGAGGCCCCCAAAAGTCCTGCTGTGCCCTGGGGGCTGAGCACTTTGGACCCCCTGGCCCAGAGCTGGACGCGCCGCCCCCAGCAGGCCCCCCTCCCAGCCCCACCCCACCCTTGCCCTCCCCAACCAGCAGCTGTAACTGGAGCTGGGGCTGGAGGGGGGCCAGGGGGCGGCCCCCAGCCCAGACCGCCCTGGCCTGCTAGGTTAACTCTCTCAGCTCAGATGGAGGAGCAGCCGGCAGCCGGCAGGCGGGCTGGAGAGGCCAGGAGGATTGTGAAGGACAGGGTTGTGAACACACACACACACACACACACACACCCCTTTGAGAGCTTCTCGGCTGAGGTGCCTGCCCCCTGGGAATTGGGCCCAGCCAGGGCCTAAGGTCACCCAGCCTGACTGCCCAGGAGCCCACTGACCTCCGACCCCAGTGCTCCAAGGGGTCCTTAACAGGACTGTTTTAGAGGGCGGGAGGGAGGTTTGTGTGTGTGTGTGTTCCTGCGTGCGCGCATGCTATCTGCTGCGGTGAGATCCCCAGCAATGCACACCAAACACACACACACACACAGACACACACAGAATCCCAAAGACCCAGATACACAGGTACAAAACCAGGCAAAACCACATATGTATGTACATCCACAGAGGCAGACACACACAGAATGACACACCAATAGAGAAACCCAAAGACCCGGACACAGCCAGCACCTCTTCTGCCAGTCACAAAATACCGAAACAAGCACATTTATGTCTACACAGACCCACGCACACTCATGCAGTTGGATGGCCATGCAGAGACACTGTCAAACACACAGCCACGCCGCCATCCACACTCACAAAGTGGCCTTAAAGATGCACCTCGCTATGGAAACCCACCCACAAATGGCCACACAGAAACACACAAATATGCGCACATTGCACGTAACTGCAGTCAAAGATACTAACATGCCTGGGTGCGGTGGCTCACACCTGTACTCCCAGCACTTTGGGAGGTCAAGGCAGGCGGATCACTTGAGGCCAGGAGTTTAACACCAGCCTGGCCAACCTGGCGAAAACTCATCTCTACTAAAAATATATATATACCAAAATTAGCCGGCCATGGTGGCATGTGCCTGTAATCACAGCTGCTCTGGAGGCTGAGGCAGGAGAATCACTTGAGCCCAGGTGTCGGAGGTTGCAGTGAGCTGAGATCACACCATTGCACTCCAGCCTGGATGACAGAGCAAGACTCTGTCTCAAAAACTGAAACAAAGGAACAACAACAAAAAAACCCCAAAGGTGTAGACATGCAGCCAGCATGCCTACGCAGCCCCAAAGATAGCAGGCCGGAAGCTGTGTACACACAGGCAGATTTCCATAGACACAGACACACAGGCAGAAACACAGGACAACCTGCCGCTCTCACACATACCCACAAAAGCAGAAACACACACACTTGTTCACACCCTGTGCTTGGGTGAACGGGCACATGGCTGGCCACAGTGACAGACATGCGGGCTGACACATTTGGATGTTCACATGTTCCAAAACCATAGATATGTATTTGACCCCACGCTTTCCTTCCTCTGAGCTCTTGTCAGGGACAGCACACCTGGCGTCCCCATAGGCAGGCCAGGTTTATAGGTCCTGGTGACAGAGACCTGGAATCAGGCCTGGGCACTGCACTCCTGGTTAGGTGAACATGAGCAGCCCTGTGACCTGTGCCTCATTTTCTCATGCTCCAAAATGGAAAAATCACCAAGGTCACATGTGTAATCCTGGGCAGTGTTCAGAGGTCTCTGAACTTGACATTGTCTTATCATTAACTCCATTTTTTGTTTGTTTGCTTGAGACAGGGTCTTGCTGTTACCCAGGCTGAAGTGCAATGGCACGATTCTTAGCTCACTGTAGTCTCAAACTCCCTGGCTCAAGTGATTCTCCCACCTCAGCTTCCCGAGTAGCTGAGACTACAAGGGTTCCATACTGTGCCTGGCTAATTTTTTTATTTTTTGTACAGTTGTGGTTTCACTATGTTGCCCAGGCTGGTCTTGAACTCGTGGCCCCAGTCGATCCTCCCACTTCAGCCCGCCAAAGCGCTGGGATTATAGACGTGAGCCACCATGCCCGGTCCATTATTATTGTCCTTGTCATCCTCCTCCTTGTGAACTGGAGTGAGGAGGCTGCTGGGCTGGGCATGCTATGAGAATGGGTTCAGACCCCTCTGTGTCCCTGGCACTCAGCTCTCCAACTTCACTTTCAGGGACCCTGTTTATCATACCCGATAGTCAGCAGAGGAAGCCAAGAGCTGAAAGGCATGGCTCAAACCACAAGCTGCTGGGGTCTGCTCCTCTAGGACCTGGATCCGGAGCCCACCCCAAAGCCTGCTGACCACTGTGGGATGCCCACCTGTGCTGAACCCCAAAAGGATGAGGTGCCTCCATCACCTGAGTCCTCTCCACAGCTGGGAAGTGGGTGCCACGATTGCCCCCATTTGACAGATGGGAAAACTGAGGCCGCACAGGACTGGGCCTGGAACCCAGATCTGTGTGACCTCCAAGCTAGTGCTGTTAAGACCCCTTATCCTCCAACAAGGCTTTGGACGTGGGCACCAGTGTCGAGCAAGGCTGCATTCCTCAATCACAGGGCGAGTCTTGTCCCCAGGTGATAGGTGGTACAGCCTAGGGGTTAGGTTTAGAGCTGATGAGAGCCAGGAAATAAATCACATAACTTCCCTGTGCCTCAGTTTCCACATCTGTAAAGCAGGGAGAGCAGTACTGCCCATCTCACAGGATGGCTGTGAAGACTGAGTGAGTAGATTGCCACCTGGTTGCAGCTGAATAAACATTACTACTATTTCATGTTGGCTAACAAGTGTCATTGACTTATTTTTCTTATTTAATGGACAGAATCTATCCAAATGACTAAAAGCTTAGTCCAGATTAAAACAACCAATTATCCATCTATCCATGAACTCTGATCTCCAAAGAAAGAATGCAAAATAACCTGGAGCGGCCCTGGAGCCGATGCCTGGGTTTGAATCCTGGCTGTGCCCCCAGCTGGGTAGCCTCAAGTTCAGGTTCTTTGACCTCTGTCTCCACTTCCTCCTGCTTTATAGTGGTGATGGTAACAGCACCAACCTCAGAGGGCTGCGGCAAGGTCAGAATGAGTTAATGCGTGCGTTTTCAGAACAAGGCCAGGAGCAGAGTAGACACTGAAGAAGGGGTGGCGTGATCATCATCTTCTTCATCATCATTGTCATCATCATTATCATGTCCTTGGGTTGGTGCCGCCCCCCAGTGGGTGTTGAGCACTCGAGGGTTAATTTCAGGGTAGGGGAGGGAGGCTGTGGGCTTGGGGCCGGGCAGAGGTCCTGCAGAATGTGACCACCAGAGGGAGCAGCTGGACCTGAACTGGCCCCACTGACAGCGCCCAACGCGCCCTCCTGGAGCCAGGGGAGGGGGCTGGCAGAGAGTGGCCAGGATGGGATGTCCCCAGCCCCCAGTGGCCTCTCCTCCCACCCAGCCCCGGTCTGCAGAGCCATCCGGTCCCCACCCTGGTGACATCCTCCTCCTGCTCCCTCAGTAGGGTCGAGTGGGGAATCTGGAGAGGGGGCTGGCGGGAGTGGCAGGGCGGCTCCAGCCCTTGATGGCCCCTCCCCCTCCTGTGGGGCCGTCCAGTCCCTTCCCCAAGGCCGACCTTCCCATGGCCTCTGACCCCCTCCTCCTCCCCACCCTACTCTGCCAGGCGCACCGGGTGTCCAGAGAACCCCATTCCCAAACCTTCAGGGAGCAGGGACGTGGGAGGAGGCAAAAAAACTACAGGCAGGGAGCTGGAAGGGGGGTGGGGGGGGCAGGAGACAAGAAATCAAGACACCCAGCAGTGTGACACACACACACACACACACACACACACACACACACACACACACACTCACACACAGAGGCCAACAGACAGCTACCTAAAGCCTGAAAGACTGACAGCAACACAGAAAAAGACAGAACGAGAGACAAAGACAGAAATAGAAACAGACGAACACGCAGATTCAGAAACATAGCGACAGAAAGCCAGGGAGAAAGAGAAAATTAGACACCAAGGAGATACGAACAGGGAGAGAGGCCAACTGAAAGAAAGACGGAGAAGAGGAGAGAGAAGCCAGGGCCCAGCGTGCCAGCAGGCGGATGGAGGGCGGCCTGGCGGAGGAGGAGACGTAGTGGCCTGGGCTGAGCTGGGTGGGCTGGGAGAAGCTGGTGCCTCAGCGAGGGGGTGGGGACATGGGAGGGGCAGGCATTCTGCTGCTGCTGCTGCTGGCTGGGGCGGGGGCGGTGGTGGCCTGGAGACCCCCAAAGGGAAAGTGTCCCCTGCGCTGCTCCTGCTCCAAAGACAGTGCCCTGTGTGAGGGCTCCCCGGACCTGCCCGTCAGCTTCTCTCCAACCCTGCTGTCACTGTGAGTGTCTGGCCCTCTGCATGCCTGAAAGTGGGGATGGAAGTCCTGGGACCCCAGAGGTTGGGATGTGGTGCTGAGTCCCCAGGGAAACGGGGGCCCATCAAGATCTTGGGAGATGGGCAGCAGAGGCTGTCGGGATGCCTTGCAGAGGGCTGCTCGAATCTGGGAGGAAGCAGAGGGAAGCCCCAGAGGGCAGGGACAGGATTTGAGGCCTGGGAGGAAGGTTGAGTGCTGTCAGGGTCCTTGTCAAGCCAGGAAGGCAAATGCCTGCCTCCCCTGGCATGCAGGGCAGACACACCCAGGGTCAGGGTGGCACACTGGGGTCTCCCAAATGGCAGAAGCCTCTGGTTTGGGACTGGAGCATTGCTGTGGTATCCCCTTCACCTACCATGGCCCACGTCTCCAGCTCACTCGTCAGGACTGGAGTCACCCAGCTGAAGGCCGGCAGCTTCCTGAGAATTCCATCTCTGCACCTGCTGTGAGTGGGGCCTGGCTGGGCCGACGACCAGCTCAAGGGAGTGGACATTCGTGCGCATGTGTGGGAGTGTGGGCTCACACAGGTGTCAGGTGGGCGTTCATGCATGTGTGTGGGGGTGTGCATACACGTGTGTGCAAGAGCATTTGTGTCCCTGCACATACTCACACCTACTGCCACGTGTGTGTGTGCCCATGCCTGTGTAGGCTGAGGGTGGAGGCCAGGGTTGAAATATCTGCAACAACTCTGGAAAAATTTCTTTCTTGCACCCCTGCCAGCCTCTTCACCTCCAATTCCTTCTCCGTGATTGAGGACGACGCGTTCGCAGGCCTGTCCCACCTGCAGTACCTGTGAGTGAGGCCAGGGGATGGAGGCAGGTGGGCCTGGGAGAAGGAGATGGGAGCTGTGGTCCTGAAGAGAAGGTGTTTGGACATCTGGTGGGAGGATGTTGATGAAAATGGCAAACCCAGTGGTGACGATGCTTTGGGTGATATTGATGAAGTTCTCAGGGCTGGTGTCAATGAGGCTTATCAGTGTTGATTATCACCTAACTTCTCTGCTTCAAGATCGACAAAGGGCCCGGATAACCAGATCCTGATTCTGGCTCTACGTGACTCAGGGGAGCCCAGGGAGGGTGTAAAGAAGTCAGAGACAAGAAACATTTTAAGGGGCTGGGTGCGGTGGCTTATGCATGTGATCTCAGCACTTTGGGAGGCCGAGGCAGGTAGATCATCTGAGGTCAGGAATTCGAGACCAGCCTGACCAACGTGGAGAAACCCCATCTCTACTAAAAATACAGAAAATTAGCAGGGCGTGGTGGTGGGCACCTGTAATCCCAGCTACTCGGGAGGCAGGAGAATCGCTTAAACCCTGGAGGCGGAGGTTGTGGGGAGCCGAGATCACGTCATTGCACTGCAGCCTGGGCAACAAGAGCGAAACTCCGAAACATTTCAAATGAACAGGAAACAACTCTGAACTAGGTGGTGGTGGTGGTGGTGATACTATGGTGGTGTTGAGGGTGGTGCTGACAGTGATGCTGACGGTTGGGTAGCGGTGGTGATGGTGGTGGCGGTGACAGTCACAGCATGACAATGCCGGCAGTGGTGTTGCTCATGGCATTGATGATAATGGCAGTGATGATGATGCTGTTGCTGCTGCTGATGTGGGGTTGGTGGCATTATTGATGATGATGGAGTGGGGATGATGTGGCTCACTCGAGTTGTCCTGGTGCTTGAGGAGGCAAGGCTATGCGTTCGAGGCCAGGCTGGGCAACATAGGAACCTCTCATTCATTAAAAAAAAGAAAAAGAAGAAGAAATGGATGATGAAGTTCTTGGGGCTTGTGTCCCTGACAATTATGAATGTTGTGGGGGTTGGTGAGTACAGTATTTGTGTTGGTGTTGGTGATGGCTGTGGGTAGGATGCTGGGGGTGGTATTAGGGCAGTGTTGTTGGCACTGGGTTGGTGATGATGGTGAAGGTGTTGGTATTTACAGAAACCGGCAGCAGTGGTACTGGCGATGGGTGAACATGTGCATCTTGGGCACAGTGGAGGTGCTGCTGGTGTTGGCAGCGCTGGTGGTGCTCATGCGGATGTATGAGAGCACAGCAGTGGAGATGAGGGTGGGAGTCTTTCTGGTGTTGGTCATGAAGGTTGAGTTTTTGGTGAAGATGATCAGTGTTGGTGGGGTAGAGTTTGGTAGTGATGATATCGGTGTTGGTGTTGATGGGAGTGGGTGGTGACGGTCATATTGGTGACGATGATGCTAGTGTTGGTGATGACAGTGACAAGGTATGGTGTTGGGGATAATGGCAGTTATTGGTCCTGGGTTGATGATGGTGGTAGAGACATGGATGTGGGTGTTGGCACTGGTGATGGTCATTACGGATGATGCTGGAGGTAACGTGGTGATGTGGGTGCTGGCACTGGTGATGGTCATTACGGATGATGCTGGAGGTAACGTGGTGATGTGGGTGCTGGCACTGGTGATGGTGTTGGTGGTGGTGGTGGCAGGACAGTGTGCACAGTGAAGCTCGAAATGACTATAGGGCAAGTTTCATGGCTCCTAGAATTGATGGCTGGGACCTTGGCAAGGAGAGGTTTCTAAGATGCTTTCCCTGGGATTGTTCATGATATTGGAAGAGAATTCAGCACCTTCCAGTGGGCCTATGTCTTTCATGGGGTGCGTTCCCTGAAGCTCAGTGGGCCTCCCCATCACCCCAGCTTCCCTCCACAGCTTCATCGAGGACAATGAGATTGGCTCCATCTCTAAGAACGCCCTCAGAGGACTTCGCTCACTCACACACCTGTGCGTGCCTCCACCGCCCCAGCCCTCCATGACAGGCACCCACGCTCCACCACCCGGGGGACACGGGGTATCCTGGCGGCTGCTGACAGTGCCTTCTCTTCCTCTACCAGAAGCCTGGCCAATAACCATCTGGAGGCCCTCCCCAGATTCCTGTTCCGAGGCTTGGAGACCCTTACTCACGTGTGAGGCTCATGGGGGCTGGGAGTGTGGGGGGTTGGGGAATGTTTGTGTCGAGGGGGGCATCCATGTCCACTACTGGTTGGCATGCATGCATTTGGCTGAGGTGGTTCTTACGTATTTTTCTTACCATGATGGGGCACCATCTCTGGGGACACTTGCCTGGGGAGGGGGCAGGAGCGTGGCCCCCAGGGCGTGGAAGCAGGTTGCAGCCCCTCAGCAACCTCTTGCCCCAGGGACCTCCGCGGGAACCCGTTCCAGTGTGACTGCCGCATCCTCTGGCTCCTGCAGTGGATGCCCACCATGAACGCCAGCGTGGGGACCGGCGCCTGTGCGGGTCCCACCGCCCTGAGCCACATGCAGATCCACCACCTCGACCCCAAGACCTTCAAGTGCAGAGCCATAGGTGGGGGGCTTTCCCCATGGGGTGGGAGGCGGGGAGACCCAGGGAAATGGCTGCCTCACTCCCCACCCTGCCGATTCCTGCCGTGGGGAGACCCTGAGCAAGCAGGAGCACCTTGCTGAGCCCCAGTTTTCTCATCTGTAAAGTGGGGGTAATAAACCCTGACATAGGAGCGCCGCGGGAATTCAAAGATACGTCCTCGCCTGTTTGGCATTTGGCGCCGGGCCTAGGACAGAAGGCCCTTATATCTTCACCCTTGTTAACATAAAAGCAACCACTTTAAAAATTCTTCGTTACGTGCCAAGCATTATTGTAAGAACTGCAGGTGCAAAGTCACCTCACTTACATTGACTCATCTTTTCTTTTTCTTTCTTTCTTTTCTTTTTGAGAGAGTGTTTCTTTCTTGTTGCCCAGGCTGGAGTGCAGTGGCATGATCTGGGCTCACCACAACCTCCGCCTCCTGGGTTCAAGCAATTCTCCTGCCTCGGCCTCCAAAGTAGCTGGGATTACAGGCATGTGCCACCACGCCTGGCTAATTTTGTATTTTTAGTAGAGACGGGGTTTCTCCATGTTGGTCAGGCTCGTCTTGAACTCCTTACCTCAGGTGATCCGTCTGCTTTGGGGGAGATTACAGGTGTGAGCCACCGCGCCTGGCTGACTCACCTTTTCTATAAATAGATTTTGGTGACTTTAGGCAGTGCAGAAAGCATGATGAGGCCAGCTCTGGGTCTCGCCCTCAAAGAGTTAAATGACCAGAGGAAGGCAGGCCCAGCAGGACAGCCCAGGACCATCTGGGCAGGATGGGGAGGCCCAGCCAGAGGGGTCAGGGCAGGGATGGCGGAAGCCATGGGAGCTGAGGGAGCCCAGAGTCAGGGCCAGGGCCACACAGAGCTGGGGGACAGGAAGGAGTTTAAGCCTGAAGGGTCTTTACACAGATGCTTTTCTTTTCTAAGTGTTGGGATCTCAGTCTGTCACCCAGGCTGGAGTGCAGTGGCGCCATCATAGCTCACTGTAGCCTCAAACTCCTGGGCTCAAGCGATCCTCCTGCCCCAACCTGCCAAATAGTGGGGACTACAGGCACATGCTACTGTGCTCGGCTAATTTTGTTTAAAAAACTTTTTTGTAGAGACAGGGTTTTGCTATGTTGCCCAGGCTGGTCTTGAACTTCTGGCTTCAAGTGATCTTTCCACTTCAGCCTCCAAAAGTGCTGGGATAACAAGCATTCGCCACTGCACCTGGCCACAGATGCGATGAATACAATAACAACAATTGTTATTATCTGTAACAATATACGTATATAATTATTATCGACATATAATTATTATTATTCTAAGTGTAAGAAAGACATGTTTTTGGTCCGTGGGACACACAGAAGAAGGAGACTTAACTTAGGGAGTCCCTCTTCATTCAAGTTATCCAACAAACGTTCACTAACATTCACGCATGCCCAGCCCTGTGAGAAGTGAGGGTCACTGCGGTTGGGACCTGAGCCCTGGCCTTACGGGACTTACCGTCCTGGGAATTTGGGGAGACAGACATTTAAAAAACATAGTACAGGCTGGGCACAGTGGCTCATGCCTGTAATCCCAGCACTTTGGGAGACTGAGGTGGGCAGATCACCTGAGGTCAGGAGTTCGAGGCCAGCCTGGCCAACATGGTGAAACCCTGTCTCTACTAAGAATACAAAAAGTAGCCGGGCACAATGGCGGGTGCCTGTAATCCCAGATACTCGGGAGGCTGAGGCAGGAGAATTGCTTGAGCCCAGGAGGCACAGGTTGCAGTGAGCTGAGATCATGCCACTACACTCCAGCCTGGGCAACAAGAGTGAAACTCTGTCTCAAAAAAAAAAAAAAAATTGCACAGATAAATGTGTGCTATGCATTGTGATAACTACAGGGAATTATGAGACAAGGGAGGTTCTTATGACAGTCAGAGAAGGCTTCTCTGAAGTGGGGACGTTAGGTCTCAATGTGGCTAAGTGAGGAACAGAGAGAAGGGCTCTTCAGAGAGAAGGAACATCCTGGTGGGTGGCCCTGAGGCAGCATAGAGCTTGCCCTGTTTGAAGATCAAAAGAAGGCAGGTGTGGCTTAGGGGTGGTGAGTGAGGGACAGCTATGGATTTTGGAAACCACAGAGAGGAGAGCAGACTTTATTCTGGGCCATGGGAAGAATGGAGAGTTGTGTTTTTTTTCATTTGTTTATTTGTTTATTTGAACCGGGTCTCACTCTGTCACCCAGGCTGAAGTACGGTGGCACAATCACCACTTACTGAGACCTTGACCTCCCCAGGCTCAGGTGATCCTCCTGACTCAGCCTCCCTGGTGGCGGGGACTGCAGGTGTGCCACCACCGTGCCCTGCTAATTTTTGGTATTTTTTGTAGAGATGGGGGTTTTGCCACATTGTCCAGGCTGCTCTCGGACTCCTGGGTTCTATTGATCTACCTGCCTTAGCTTCCCAAAGCTGGGATTAAAGGCGTGAGCCACCACTCTCGGCCAAGAGTTTTGAGCAGGAGGTGATTTGCTAGCCATTGAAAAAAGATTTGCCCTTTAGGTGGGCATTATAGGTAATTTGGCTCATTGCTTCAACACTGGCACCCGGAAACAGGGCCTGGCAAGCAGAGTGAAATATTACAGCCTGGATTTGATTGCCCGGCTCCCCCACTAACAAGCAGAGTAGCCTTGGTACCCCAGCAGCCACAGAAGCCAACCCGCCGTCACACTCAAAATATCATGGATTAAGGACGGAGGGGTCTGGAGCAAGCTGTCCAGGTGTGCAGGGCAGCCCCTGGGCATCGTCCTTGCTTTCATGTTTGAAGCCAGGTTGTGGCATATCCACATGTGAGAAAGGAGACCAAGTTGGGACAAGCTGTTTCCAGGCGTGGTGGCTCATTGCACTCATCACATCTGCCTTTGTTCCACTGGTCGCTCGGTCTCAAAACAGCCACATCTAACTTCCAGGGAGGGCGGTGAATGGAGGTCCAGGAGAAAGCAGCCTCTAGCTGGGTGGCCTGGTGACCAGCTCAGTCCTGTCTCTTGGAAGGTGGGAAAGACGGATTTTGTTGGATAACTGGCTGCCTGTACCATTTAGCCTTCGCTTTCTCATCTGTAAAGGGGAGATCATAACAGAATGCACCTCAGAGGGGTGTTGTGAAGTTAAATGAATTAACTGAGATGTTCTTTCTAAGGGATTATTTGGTGATGCCACAGAGCTTATAAAATAAAGCTTATCATGCTGTTGTGAGTTAATATGTCTATGGTCAGGTGTGGTGGCTCATGCCTGTAATCCCAGCACTTTGGGAGGTCAAGGCAGGAGGATCTCTTGAGCCTAGGAATTCTAGGCCAGCCTGGGCAACATAGCAAGACCCATCTCTACAAAAAAATAAAACATTAGGCAGGCAGGCCGGGCATGGTGGCTCACACCTATAATCCCAGCATTTTGGGGGGCCGAGGCGGGTGGATCACGAGGTCAAGAGATCGAGACCATCCTGGAATACATGGTGAAACCCCGTCTCTACTAAAAACACAAAAATTAACTGGGCATGGTGGCGCGGCCTGTAGTCCCAGCTACTCGGGAGGCTGAGGCAGGAGAATTGCCTGAACCCAGGAGGCGGAGGTTGTGTGAGCTGAGATCATGCCATTGCAGTCAAGCCTGGGTAACGAGCGAAACTCCGTCTCAAAAAAAAAAAAAAAAATTAGGCAGGCATGGTAGTGCATGGCTGTAGTCTCAGCAGCTCAGGAGGCTGAGGTGGGAGGATTCCTTGAGCCTGGAAGGAGGAGGCTGCAGTGAGCTATGATTGTGCCACTGCACTCCAGCCTGGGGGACATAGTGAGACCCTGACTCAAAACAAAACACCCCCCAAACCAAACAAACATCTTCAGATCAAGATTCCAGTTCTATGACCCTATGAGGGGAGTACCATGAATGGCCCCATTTCAGAGATGTGCAAACTGAGGCTGGGCCATGAGGATCCTTGGGTCCCCGGGGGCCTGCCTGACTCTCTGCTCCACCCCCAGAGCTGTCCTGGTTCCAGACGGTGGGGGAGTCGGCGCTGAGCGTAGAGCTCTTCTCCTACCAGGGGGAGCCTCACATCGTGCTGGCACAGCCCTTCGCCAGCCGCTGCCTGATCCTCTCCTGGGACTACAGCCTGCAGCGCTTCCGGCCGGAGGAAGAGCTGCCCGGTGAGCCCCTCCCCGTCCTTCCGCCTGCCCAGCAGCCTGCCTGGCCGGCCTGACCTGCCCCTCCGCTCCCACCTCCCCACAGCGCCCTCCGTGGTGTCCTGCAAGCCGCTGGTGCTGGGCCCCAGCCTCTTCGTGCTGGCTGCCCGCCTGTGGGGGGGCTCACAGCTGTGGGCCCGGCCCAGCCCCGGCCTGCGCCTGGCCCCGACGCAGACCCTGGCCCCGAGGCGGCTGCTGCGGCCCAATGACGCCGAGCTCCTGTGGCTAGAAGGGCAGCCCTGCTTCGTGGTGGCCGACGCCTCCAAGGCGGGCAGCACCACGTTGCTGTGCCGCGACGGGCCCGGCTTTTACCCGCACCAGAGCCTGCACGCCTGGCACCGGGACACGGACGCCGAGGCCCTGGAGCTGGACGGCCGGCCCCATCTGCTGCTGGCCTCGGCCTCCCAGCGGCCCGTGCTCTTCCACTGGACCGGTGGCCGCTTCGAGAGACGCACGGACATCCCTGAGGCAGAGGATGTCTACGCCACACGCCACTTCCAGGCTGGTGGGGACGTGTTCCTGTGCCTCACACGCTACATTGGGGACTCCATGGTGAGGCTGGGCCTGGGGGAGGAGGGGGCACAGCCAGGCCTGACGCTGCAGCTGACTCCCTTTGAGGGTTGGCTTTTTTTTTTCTTTCTTTCTTTGTTTTTTTGAGACGGGAGTCTGGCTCTGTTGCCAGGCTGGAGTGCAGTGGCACGATCTCGGCTCATCTTCGCGTCCTGGGCTCAAGCAATTCTCCTGCCCCAGCTTCCCAAGTAGCTGGGATTACAGGCGCACACCATGATGCTCAGCTAATTTTTGTGTTTTTAGTAGGGACAGGGTTTCACCATGTTGGCCAAGATGGTCTCGATCTCTTGACCTTGTGATCCGCCCACCTCGGCCTCCCAAAGTGCTGGGATTACAGGCGTGAGCTACCGAGCCCCGCCTCGAGGGCTGGCTTTTCAGCATGGACCCAGTCTTGCACACTAAGCCTCTAAACTCTGACCTAGCCTCACATGCCGACCTTTGAACCAGGACCCCACCCCACACTGATGCCAAGACTGTGACTCCCTCAAAGCTGGCTGACTCCAAACCACTCCCCAGTCCCTGACACTGATGCTGGCCCCAACATCCTGATTCTACCCCCAGATGCTGGCTCTGTGACTCAGATGCATTCCAGACTTCGCAGCCACACCAATCCCCACCCTGACACTGAGCCCCCCCAGGTTCACACTGGGGTTAAGCCCTGCCCACTCTCTTTCTGCAGTGAGGTGCAGGCAGGGGAGGGTTCTGAGCCTGGAAGGGCCCTGATCTGACTTAGGTGTTCACGGGGTGGTGAACAGACTCAGGGAGCAGGGAGAGGAGCCTCAAGACCAGGAAAGAGGCCGCCAGGATGGTCCAATTGGGAGGGGATGGAGTGCTGCCAGAGGTGGTGGGAGAAATGTCCAACTATAGTAGGTGAAACTGAGTCCACGGCTGAGTGCTTCTGTGTGGGGTGTGAGGGCAAGAGAAGGGCTCAGAACTCCGTGTGTGTGGCTGAACAGCTGGCTGGTGACCTTTATGAAGATAAGAAAGCTGTGGGAGTTTGGGGACCTACAGGCTTCTGCTTCCAAGCTATTCCAGGGCCCTCAGAGCCCCCCCGGGACCCCAGGCTCTCACCGGCCACACCCCCACAGGTCATGCGCTGGGACGGTTCCATGTTTCGTCTGCTGCAGCAACTTCCCTCAAGAGGTGCCCACGTCTTCCAGCCCCTGCTCATCGCCAGGGACCAGCTGGCCATCCTGGGCAGCGACTTCGCCTTCAGCCAGGTCCTCCGCCTTGAGCCTGACAAGGGGCTCCTGGAGCCACTGCAGGAGCTGGGGCCCCCAGCCCTGGTGGCCCCCCGTGCCTTTGCCCACGTCACCATCGCCGGCAGACGCTTCCTCTTTGCTGCTTGCTTTAAGGGCCCCACCCAGATCTACCAGCATCACGAGATCGACCTCAGTGCTTGAGACCCCCAATGGGACTCTGGGCATGGCTGGGGCCCCTGGATGGCCCCTTGGCTGGTTCCCGGCCCCACTTGGGGTGGCGGCTTGCCTGTCAGCTGCTGACCACGGGCCACATTCATCAGTCACAGGTCTAGACCTTAAGCCCACGCACCTGTGGGGGGACATAGAGGGTCCTAGCCTAGTCGACCTCCCAAGCTGCTCACAGGTCTAAAGCAACATCTGGACATCTCTGCTGGGGCAGATTCCCCATCAAAGGCAACCTGGGGGTGCAGGCTGGTGCACTGCATGGAGTCGAGGTGGGGGTCACGTGCAGAGCTCCATGAGGTCTGGAAGCTCCCCTCTCAACCTGCTCCCACCCTGGTCCCCCTGAAAGCACTGAGGGATTGATGGCATTCCTTTCCCATTCTAAACTCCACACAGCCGATCTGCTTTCCTGGAGAAGCGCCAAACTCGAAGACAACTCAGCGCTGGGCGGGTTCCCCTCTGCTGCTTGTGCGCATGCGTGCGGCCGCCCTGGGCGCTGTGCCTCTTGCGCCTCCTGCGCGTGCGCGGGACACAAGGCGTGACAGCGAGAAATGTCGCAGGGAGCCCGGTGCCCTCCTGGATGGGCGACGGGGGCAAGGACAAGAAGAATCCGAGCTCAATAAATGCGCTGTGCACCCGCCCCGCCCACTGTTGTGGATCCCTGGGAGAGGGTATCTTGTGAAAGCGGAAGTGGTGTCCCTGGAGCAGTGCTCGGAAGGGCCCAGGCGGTGGACTCGTGGTTATGGAGGGACTCAGGGGATGTTTGAGGGATAAAAAGGCATGATGAGGGGACAAGTCACGAGTTTATTTGGGTCTCTTTTTGGGTTCATGTCTCAGGACATTGGAGGAGATATTTTCGGGTGTTTTGAGTTTTAGGCATTTTGTGAGGTGGTTCATGGGAACATTTTGGATGCCTTTTTAGGTACTGGGGAGTCTCAAGGGAGTTTGAGGCTTGTTGGAAGTTCTCACGCTATGCGGCCATTGTGTATAATTAAGGGCAGCATAGGGAATTATTTAAGAGGCTTGCAGGGACATTTGGGTATTTGGAAAGATCTTGTAATAAAGTGAGGTCTCAGGGGTGAGTGAGAGGGTCACAGGGTCTTACTTTTATAAACTGTCTGGACACTGCCATCATGGTGGGATGATCCTATGTCCCAGTTTTCCTGGGATGGTCCAGGGTCCTCTGGAATGTTCCAGTGTTCCATCTGGTTAGAGCTCTCTTTCATTCCTTTTGGCCACTAGTAAATCCCAAATTGCATATGAGGTTCCCAGGGTCTAGGAGGCAGAATGCAGGCCTGTGCCGTGCAACCAGCCACAAGGGAGCAGGCCTGTGGGCTTTTCCCAACAAGCAGGCTCAGCTGCCAGCCTCTGTGCCAGCCTCCAGGGCACACCGACCTTCTCATGGCGCCACAAGCCCCACCCCAAGGCACACATAGGAAGTCTCCAGGCTGCTTGGGCAGAGGCACAATCATGTTAGATTAAAAATTGAACAAAGAGACCCTCCCACGAGAGATGAGATGATGAGGCCTTTCTGTGCAAGAAGTCCCAGCCGAGGAGGAAGAATTCCATTCTGGAGTTCAAGTTTCTGTGCAGAGACAGGACCCGGGGACAGAGAAGGGTCCTCCACCCAGTTTCAGTTGGTCTGTCCTCAGCAGTTATGGGCTGAGCCTGGGAGAAGGATGGGGTCAGTTTGTGAGGGTGGACAGAGTTCTTTCTTTCCAGTGTGCATGCGCATGCGCGCGCGCGCGCGCACACACACACACACACACACCCCCCACCCACCCACCCACTTCCGTGTTCCCTTCAGCTCCGTGCTGTCCATCTTACCTGGGGTGATGAGAGGTGGAGCCTCCCCTGGACGGTGACTAAGGAGACAAAAGTGGTGAGACCTTTGTCCACCCCATTTGTCCTGTCCCTCCAGGTAGAGGGTTCTCAGCCTGTCCAGACTTGTTTTCCTGGCTGCTTTTCCACTGGGGGGGAGGGGCGGGGAGGGGGGTTGTGCAATCCCAGGGGCTAATGCATTTCAGGATTTGGGGCCCTCTGGGGATTACCAGCTAGAAACAATGAACCTGGGAAATCTTAGCGGCAGGAACTCTGCGGGGCAGAGTCTGGAGACCTCTCCTGCTGGGAGAGCTAGCCCTTTCAGGCTGGAAAGCATCTAGCCAGGCTGAGGCAGGCGGGCATGCCAGAACAGCACACATCTTACCCCGGCTTCTGGCGGAACTTGCATTTGCATTTCCCACCTGTTAGGGAGAGGTGAGTGGTCAGGGGAGGGAAGCCCCAGCCCCGCCCCACCTGCTCCCCCAGCTCCTCCACTCACTCATGAGGATGATGATGCCCAAGGCACACAGAACCCCGGCACAGATGAGCCCGCCAACCCGAAGCCTGTGCCAGTCTAGGAGGAAAGAGGAGAGGACCTCAGTGCCAGGCTGTGTCCTCCCCATCCATCCTGCCATCCTCTTGATAAATACGTATGGAGCACCTAGGATGCGCAGGGTGCCAGGAACACCACAGTAAGAGAACAGAGTCCGAGGTGCTCACATTCTAGTGCGCACACCAGCAAACAAGATCTGTCATCGGGGTCAGGCGGAGATGGGTGGTCGGAAGAACAATAAGCAGGGTGGGAGCTGGAAAGACAGAGGGCAGGCTGGGCGTTGTGGCTGACACCTATTAGGATAGTGCAAAAGTAATTGCGTTTTTGGCTGGGTGAGGTGACTCACACCTGTAATCCCAGCACTTTGGGAGTCCCAGGTGGGCAGATCACCTGAGGTCAGGAGTTTGAGACCAGCCCGGCCAACATGATAAAACCCCATCCCTACTAAAACTACAAAAATTAGCCAGGTGTGGTGACGGGTGCCTGTAATCCCAGCTACTCAAGAGGCTGAGGCTGGAGAATCCTTTGAACCTGGGACCTGGGAGGCAGAGGTTGCAGTGAGCCGAGATCTCGCCATTGCACTCCAGCCTGGGTGACAGAGCAAAACTCTGACTCAGAAAAAAAAATAATAATAATAATTGCATTTTTGCCATTAAAAGCAGTTGCAAAAAACACAATTATTTTTGCACCAACCTAATATAATCCCAGTGCTTTCAGACTTCAGGAGTTCTAAACCAGCCTGAGCAACATAGCGAGACCCCATCTCTACAAAATATACAAAAATTAGCCAGGCATGGTGGTGCACTCCTGCAGTCCCAACTATTCAGGAGGCTGAGGCAGGAGGATTGCTTGAGCCCAGGAATTTGAGGCTGCAGTGAACTATGGTCACGCCACTGCACTCCAGCTTGGGCAACAGAGTAAGACCCTGTCTCTAAAAAATTAAGTCAGGGGGCAGCTCTTTTAGAGGGAGTAGTAAGTGAAGGCCTCTCAAGGGGCTGCATCTGAGCAGAGGTGAGGGAGGGAGCCATGCGGGTCTATGGAAGGAAGTGTTCCAGGCATAGGAAGCAGCAAGTGCAGAGGTCTGAGGCTGGCAGTGTGTCTGCTGTGTCTGGGAGGCTTGGAGCAGGAGTGAGGAGCGTGGAGGAGGCGAGGGCAGAGCGGGGAGTGCGGAGCAGGTCACTGGAACCTGGAGGCCAGATGGGGGTTTTGACCGAATTGCTCACTGCCTCCAGCGAAGCTGCTGCCTGAAGTCCAGGAAGTTTTCTCAAGTCAACACTTCTCCCAGCAGTTGATCTGAACCAAACAATGGGTCCTTCCAAACTGTCCTCACCTCCTGCTTGTGTCTAACCATCTTGCTGGAATAGAACCTTTCCAAAAGCCAGGTTGCCGCCTCTAGTTCCTTTAATCCACCGTGTGGACCATTCATTGCCTCCATCCTATCTTTGTCCTGTGATGCTCACATCAGACCCTCACCCAACCCTGTGTGGGAACCCTTGACACCAAAGCAATATGTGGGGTTGAAGGGAAGGGCATGGGGGCACCAGCTCTCACCATAGTAGAAAGGACTGTTTTTATCTGCAAAGAAAGAAATCAGATCATGAATCCAGGATAACAGCCAGGAGCTGTTATCAATCAGGGCCCCCTAAGGGAGAATTTGGGGGTGGGACGGGTGAAAGAGTCCAGTCTGACTCACCTTCCGGGTCATTGGCATCCAGGACAGGCAAGCCTGGTGGGAGAAGAGAGGAGGGAGCAGAGATGGTGATGCTGGCCTCAGCCAAGCCCTTGGAGCCTCAGAGGCCTCGGGAAAGGGTCCCCTGAGGGACAGGGGTCGGATCACTGAGCAGCCGCCTCATCCCATCTTATCCCATAGTGGAAACGTAGACTCGCCCACTCAGCCCCACACCTCCGAGTCAAGCCAGCATTCTGCCACCTGAAATTGGGTCTAATCTGGGAGGTTTTTGGCCACCGTTTGGTCTCATGTTTCCAGACACGTGGTTAATCTATGCCTCCTGCAGCAGCGGGGGACTTTTCTGGTCAAGATGACAGATGGTTTCAGTTCCCAGCTTCCTGTTTCCCCAAATCCTATCATGCTCAAAGACCATCCTCCTGTTTCCGCCGTATCTACACCCACCTGGTCTGGTGTTTGCATATTATTGAAAGTGACTGACTATTATACACTTAAATAGACTTTATTGAAAATGTGATTTTATATCACTACCCTGCGGAGAATACTAGTCTTGCCCTACGTAATGGATAAAAAGTATGCCTGTAATCTCAGAGCTTTGGGAGGCTGAGGTGGGAGGATCCGTTGAGCCTGGGAGGTCAAGGCTGCGTTGAAAAGGTAAAAAAAGAGCTGGGTGCAGTGGCTCAGGCCTGTAGTCCTGAGCTTTGGGAGGCCAAGGTGGGAGGATTACTTGAAGTCAGGAGACCAGCCTGGCCAATATGATGAAACCATGTCTCTTCTAAAAATACAAAAATTAGCCAGGCATGGCGGCACACGCCTGTAATCCCAGCTACTTGGAGGCTGAGGCAGAAGAATCACTTGAACTTGGGAGGTAGAGGTTGCAGTGAGCCAAGATCATGCCACTGCACTCCAGCCTGGGTGACAGAGCAAAACTCTGTCTCAAAAAAAAAAAAAGGAAAAAAATGTATGTTGGAAGGCGTTAAAGGTGCAGTTGCACACAGCCGAGCCTGCTCCTTCAAGTTTTTAGAAAATGTACAAGAGAACTGGCCGGAGAGTTATCTTCTTTCAGTGCTTTGAAGGTGTCATTTCTTCTAGCTGCCCTTATTTCTGTTTAATAGTCAATCAGGGCTGGTGTGGTGGCACACACCTGTAATCCCAGCACTTTGGAAGCCTGAAGTGGGAGGATCAAACTCAGCCAGGGGTTTGAGACCAGCTTGGGCAACATAGTGAGACCCCATCTCTGCAAAACATTTAAAAATAAGCTGGGCATGGTGGTGTGTGTCTGGAGTCCTAGCTGTGTAGGAGGCTAAGAGAGCAGGATTGTTTGACCCCAGGAGTTCAAGGCTATGGTTAACTGTGATCGTGCCATTGCGCTCCAGCCTGAGCAATAGAGACTCAGGAAAAAAAAAAAAACAGAAGAGAGTGAGAGAATGGGGAAGATGGTGACTTTGCAGCTGTGCAAGCCAGCTCTTCCTGTGTCTCCCTGGCAATCACTGGTTTGACTTTTCTTAATTTTTTTTGAGACAGAGTTTCACTCAGGCTGGAGTGCAATGGTGCAATCTCAGCTCACTGTAACATCCACTTCCCAGG